CATTACAACCTTTGTGTAAGTTAAATGAGAAAACATAATAAATGCATGGGAAACTAAAATTGTACATATCAACACATGAAAATAGAGACATTAAATTTATATCTATGTGTTAATTGAAATGGGCATGTATTCTCTAATGCTTGGGGACCACTAGTAATCTATGAATGTAGTGTGGTTTCATAAAAATCTGTATTTGAAATCCAGGCAAACCTGTGACTGATATAAATTATGGAAATCGGTACACAGAGTGTCTTTCACAGAAGAGTTCAAAGGACTCGACTCTCGTAGAGTCATTTAAAGACATTGTGGGTAGGATTGGGAAATTAATGACTTTGGGAAAAGAAGTTTTGGCTACACTGGGCATCGACTCATCCATCACAAGAATTGCTCTAACCAGTGCTATCTTATATTTGATGAAAATTCCAACATGAATGAAATTAAGGTCAAGCTACTCATGTTCTTGGAAACTTTTTACATCGTGAAATTCCAACATGAATGAAATTAAGGTCAAGCTACTCATGTTCTTGGAAACTTTTTACATCGTGAAATATGTACGGATACAACTTTACCGCTGGAGAGAGGAGCTCAACTTATTTTACATGAGCTCTTTGAACTTTCCAGGACTTCACAGGGAGGATCAGGTACCCAGGAAATTATAGACTTGGGGCTACAGAAAATAATGGGAATCATTACCTACTAGGGAACAAACTGTAGACTTTCAGCATTCTCCACATATTCTACTTCTGTATCAATGAGGAGCATCTTATGAAGGACATTGTAGACAGTGTAACTGGCATCCACGATGGTCCTGTGTAAAGGGTGCAAAGGCACAACCTTCAAGGAAGCAGCCAGTGAGCATTGTTCTAAAGTTTCATAGTCAAAACCAGGAAAAAAAAAAAAAAGCACTGGGAACAGAAAGGCCAGAACTCCTCCCCAAAAGAAAAGTCTGGGTATTTAGAAGGATCAGCTGTCTGAGTCCCTTCAAAAGTGGCATGAACTCTTTCTTGCTGATAGGGAAATCCCACAAGGCAGTCATAATCTATACCTCTCATATTCTGTTATAGTGTTCAATGCAGCTATATGGAGCCTAATTGTATACTAATGTCCCCATAAATAAGGGTCACCTTGGTTGGTTGAATCTATGACTCTGGAGAGTGAAGTTCATTTTAAAATGATTCATTGAAATCACTCTGATTCAGTCATCCTCTATAAAGCTATATGGATATTGCTCCTAACCATTTCCTCCCTCAAATCCCAGAGGACCTGCTCATCTTTCATATCATTTGAGGCAAACAGCCCAGCCAGGTACAGCCAAATGCAGCAATAATAACCACCGTGTCCAGGGCCAAAGAAGCGTTCCTGAAAGCCAACAAATACAGAGAAGAAAACCGACCTTTGGTAATCAGAAGATGAGAAAAATCACAGGTGATCTGGATGAAAAGGGGGGGAAAAAGCAGGGTCCATTTTTCAACTAGTGTTAATAATGCAGTGGGGAATATTGTAAGTAGTAACATCATCAGCCACCCATAGGAACTCCAGGGAAAATTTCTAGAAGTTCAGGAAGGCAGTTAGCAGAAAGAAAGAACTATGGGGATAAAGTTCTTAAGTGTTACCTTGAGGGACGCCTGGGTGGCTCAGCGGTTGAGTGTCTGCCTTTGTCTCAGGGTATGATCCCGGAGTTCCAGGATTGAGTCCCACATCGGGCTCCCTGCATGGAGCCTGCTTGTCCCTCTGCCTGTGTCTCTGCCTCTCTCTCTGTCTCTCTCTCTGTCTCTCATGAATAAATAAATAAAATCTTTTTTTTAAAGAGTTACCTCGAAAGTTAGAAGCAGTTTTCCTAGAAGTCGGGATTTACTTAAATAAGTAGTGCTTGGTCTTTCTGTTTTATCTCCTAACATCTCCTATCTAGCTTACATAAAGGGCTCCCCACATCACGAATACATTATTTTCTAGTTGTTCCCTGGGAAAAGTGCTTAGGTCCAGTTCCCCCCATACACTGTTGAGCTGTGAGAGCATAGTCCTAAGGAAACATTTTATCCTTCCTCTCTCCAACCTACCCTCAAGTGCATGTCTGGGAATGTGTAAAATCCCAATAGTGTCTTCCTCCACCGACCTCAAATCTGTGCGAAATGGCTGATGGGTTCCTGTAGTGATGGCCTTGAACCTGTTCTGTTTCTGATAGGTAAAATTAGGGACAGTCTTGCCCCATTTTGTGTAAGCCACATCAGGGTGCTCTCCAAGTTGCTCTGATCATTCTGGTAGGCAGTGTAGTCATGATACCCTAAAATTGTATTATGTAACTAAAGAGTCTTCCTGTTGATCTCAATGGCAGACATGAAGGCCAGAACATTATTGAATCCCTTTGCATTGAAGGAAGTGCATTAGGAATCAGAGCCCATCTAGGGCTTTGTCAAAGAAACAACTTTATTCTTACCTGTTAGTAGATTAAAGTCCAGTTGGGGAACAGATTGTACTTTACCCTTGGATGAATCTTTTTTTTTAAAGATTTTATTTATTCATGAGAGACACAGAGAGAAAGAGAGAGGCAGAGACACAGGCAGAGGGGGAAGTAGGCCCCATGCAGGGAGCCCGATGTGGGACTCGATCTTGGGTCTCCAGGATCACACCCCAGGCCGAAGGCGGTGCTTAACCACTGGGCCACCGGGGCTGCCCCCTTGGATGAATCTTAAGCAGATGCCACCATTTGGTTTCTTCTTAAAAGTCATTTTCAGGTCTTAAAAGTCCTCTGGCTACTTTCATATATAGTGACTTAAAGTCACTATAGCTTAAGTACTTAAACCAGGGCCTGAGAGGCTTCCCATTGAAAGGAAGAACCAAATCAATGGAAAACCAAGTATTTCTACTTTCACTCCAAATGTTTATCAGTACATTAGTCCATGATGTGATAATCAGAAAACACAATGATCAATATATAGAATTGGAAAGAAGCAAATATTGTTACTAGAGATGATAGCATTTCATTTTTCTTAGGAAAGATCTTCTCACCAGCTACAATTCTTCTCCTTGGATTTATCGGATTACTAAAAACTTGCATAGATATCATTCTGCTTGTAGGAAAGGACATATGCTGGGGTAAAACTATGTAAATGATCCTGTCCCCTTTTCACACTAGGGACCAACTCTAGAGAGAGAGAGGTAGAAACACAGGCAGAGAGAGAAGCAAGCTCCACGCAGGAGCCCAGTGTGGGACTCGATCCCGGGACTCCAGGATCATGCACGGGGCTGAAGGCAGGCGCTAAACCACTGAGCCACCCAGGTGTCCTATGGTTTTCAGACACTCTTGATCAACAGGCCCAGAAGGTAGGAAAATCTGCTGGAAATTGGTGCCCACCAAGATCTAATGCACACATTTCAATGTATGATAACTTCTAAAACTAACTATGACTTAATGTTCATTTCTGCCTCCTGATCTCATTGCTATTTCTAATCTGGGACAATACTGGGAAAAGATTCTGGGAAATGTAGTTCCCAGGCTTACCCACATTGACATGTCATAATCTATCCTGAAATAGCTATTCTAGCTTCTATCATATTCAATTAATAAGATCTCTTTTTTTAACTCAAAGCTCTGTATCCAATTCCATCTGAGCTGAGAGCTCAGGTGAGCAAAAATGGGCAAAAGAGGAAAGTAAGTCAGATGAGGGTGTCTTCATTTCAACAGCTTTACACTGAGGAATCTCTGCCAGAAAATAAAATATTGTGTCCACTAACTAGAAGAAATGCCAAACATATATTTTTGTAAATACTAAAGACTGAGAACCTCAAAAATATTGTTTTCCTTAGAAAGGAGGAAAGAGAAGATAGATGTCCAGTATATAAATCCCAGTATGTGCAAGAAACAAAATTACAATGACACCAAAGTATCTTTATCATAATAACCACATGCTTGAAATGTAATGAAAACTAGAAATAAATAACACGATCTAAAATCCCAATAGTTACATTTTAAAAATATACTTCAAAAGATCTACTGGTCCAAAAGACTTTATAGGGTAAATAATTTCTTTGTAAGCAATTAATAATTAAAATACCGTGTATCAAAAGATAAGTAATTTTGCAGACAGGGTATATGGTGGTAAAATGGTGGCCATCCAAAAGATATGTCCACTTTGTATCTTTATTTGAAGAGTCCTTGCAGATGTAATATCTCAAGATGAGATCATCCTGGATTAGGTCATAGGCACTAAATCCTAAGACATGTGTCCTTACAAGAAAAGGGGATAGAGCAGGTAGAAATGGTGATGTTAAGACAGGGGCAGAAATTGAAATGATAAGTGTATAAGTCAAGAACACTAAGAGTTGCTGGTAGCCACTAGAAGCTTGTAAAGTGGCATGGGTCATGTTCCTCTTCAGAACCGTCAGAAGGAACCAGTGTGTGTGTGTGTGTGTGTGTGTGTGTGTGTGTGTGTGTGTGTGTGTATTTTTTTTTAATAGAGACACAGAGAGAGAACATGAGTGGGGATAGGGGGCAAAGGGAGAGGGAGCCCACATGAGGCTCAATCTCACCAATTTGAGATCATGACCTGAGCTGAAATCAAGAGTTGGATGCTAAAACAACTTAGCCACCCAGGGGCCCAGAAGGAACCAGTGTTAATGACACCCTGATTTCCAACTTCTAGCCTCCAGATCTGGAGGAGAATAAATTTCTGTTCCTTTAAGTTACCAACTTTGTGGCAATTTGTCAGGGCTGCCTTAGCAAAATAATGCTTAAAGGAGTATTTATCTCCTAAATGTTTTTATCAGAAAGAACTAGAAATAATGTGATAGGAGTCTACTTTAAGGCACTAATAACGTCAACAATATAAGATGCTTATAAAATTTTTCTAATAGTATGCAAATTTTGTGCACAGTAAGTGATATAATTTACATGAAGTTTTTCCCACATTTACTGACATAGGATTTCCCTCCTGTCAGTTTCCATGTCCTTTTTTTTTTTAAAGGATAAGGTACCACAGAAGTCTTTCCCACACTGCTTACATTTAGAATTTCTCCCCACTGTGAATTCTCACATGTCTTTGTAGGGATGTGAGTCTACTGAAGGCTTTACCACATTGTTTACACTTATAGGGGTTCTCTCTACTGTGAGTTCTCAAATGTCCTCGAAATGATGACCAACTGAAAGCTTTCCCACATTGCTTACATATATAGGGTTTCTCTCCAGTGTGAATCCTCACATGTGTTCTAAAGTACGAGAGACTGCTGAAGGCTTTTCCACATTCATTACATGCATATGGTTTTTCTCCTGTGTGAGTTCCCAAATGTCCCTTAAATGATGAAGGGGAGCTGAAGGATTTCCCGCATTGTTTACATTCATAAGTCTTTTCTCCAGAGTGTGTTCTCATGTGAATCCTGAGGTCAGAGGGCCAGCTGTAGGCCTTCCCACATTCCACACATTTATAGGCTTTCTCTCCAGTGTGCATTCTTGCATGTATGATCAGGTAAAAAGAACGAAGAAAGGCTTTCCCACATTCCTTACATTCGTAGGCTTTGTCTGCACTGTGAACCTTCACATGTTTTCTAAGAGACGAGGGAGAAGAGAAGGATTTATTACATTCTCTACAGGCATAGAGTTTCTCAATAGTATGAGTTTCCCTATGTGTCCAGAGGTTTGAGGGAGATCTGAAGGTTTTCTCACACTTTTCACATTCATAAGGCTTCTCTCCAGTGTGGGTTCTTATATGAACCCTAAGTTTGGAGAAGTATATAAAGGCTTTTCCACTTTCCTTACATGTATAGGGTTTCTCTTCAGTGTGAGCTCTTTTGTGTGTCCTAAATGATGAGTAACAAATAAAAGTTCTCCCACATTCCTTACATCGAAGGGATTTCTGTCCATGTTGAAGTGATGTTATGGGACTCTTTAGGGATGTAGTATCCATGATGGCGTTTTCAAACTTAATGTATTCATAGGACTTTACTCCAGTAGAAAGTTTATTATGCAATATAAAATTTGAAATCTGGTTGGTTTCTCCACATTGATTAGTTCCATTATTTTCTGAGAGTATCTCCACCGCATGACACCTGTTACAAATAAGCATCATGTTACCAGTGATTAGCTAACAATTCATCGATGGCTTTTAGCAATTAATAGGATTACATTTTTACCATATTCAATGAATGTGTACATTTCCTGCCCTGTCAGAATTGTTCTAAAGTGGTATATAAGCTAAATGCTCTCATTGAGGGCTCTGTCCCATACCATTTCAGTGTTTTTTACCTTTTGGATTTTGTTTCCTGATGGCTGTTTACAACTGAACTATCTCAAGTAATCAACACATGCACCACTTTTATAAAACTGGTGAAAATTCTCTGTGAATACTTATCATCTGATGTATACCTACATATGTGTACACACACAGACACACACACAGACACATATACACATTAATATCATGGCATACTCAGACTCTCTCCTGAGACCTGCTTTCTCTCAAGTTGATGCCACTCACATCATACATGTCCCCTGGTTCTTGTGCTGATCTTCAATACCATGGCATTTCCAGTTTTCACCTACAATGAAGAACCAGGAATATTTCTTCTGAATCTTACTGTAGTCCATTCATGTCATATTTCTTCCCCAAACATATACTATAGAGGATTTGACCTACTGGTTTTGAGTGTTATGAAAAATAGCAACAAAACTTTCTTTCTTTGGAAAGAACTGGTGAGATGAAGGCAAAAAAATAAGTTGGGAGCACACTTCTTTTCAAATAGTGATCCAAAAAAATAAGCAAATTTTATAAGGAGGAATGTACTTTTGAGCAAAGGACCACAACAAACTTTGAAGAGTTTTGGCTATTTCAGGACTTTGACAACAATAAAGACAAAAGGCCAAAATGGTGTGCAATTTACTGGAAATACTCCATGAAGATTGAGATTTACGGTGACATAAACACCCTATTGTCAGGAAAGCAATGTGGAAAGGAATTGGACAAACTACACATGCTCAATACTAACTTTAAAAGAGAAAATATGGAAGGTTTTTCAGTGTGAACAAGGACATTTGTGAGGATGGGAAAAATTTAAAAAAAGATGCCAATGTGTCTGACAAAATACAACTTCCTCAGTAAGAAGAGTAATTTATTTTTAATTAATATTTCCAAATGTAATGCTCCCCAACAAGGGTTGTTCCTCTTAAAGCAAAGAGTTATAACCCTTACAGAGGTGAAAAGCATTTAAAAGGGAAAGTAGCAGATTCAAATACATGCATTAGAACGTTATTAGACTATATCCTCTAGTAATGTAACCATGTCTGTCTTCCTTAGCTATAAATTCCCATTGTTCAGCTCAAGTTTTGGAACAAGCTCAATAGCTTGCAGGTACTTATACTTAGAGAGTAAGTGAAGGGATGAAGCCATCCTTACCCACTGAGGTCAGGTTCCTGCAGGTCTCCAGCATCACATCTCTGTAGAGCCTCCTCTGAGCACAATCCAGCAAAGCCCACTCCTCTGGGGTGAAGTCCACAACCACATCCTCAAAAACCACCGAGTCCTGAAACATCCCACAGATTCTGGTTCAACAGGGTACTATTCTCCACCAGTGTGTGTGAGGAAGGGGGAGGGGAGGCTGACTGGGGAACCAGGACTTGAGTCACAGCAAGTTCACACATAGTTCTGTGGCCTCCCATCAACTCTAGGGCTGTGTCATCCTATCTCCTTCCCTGTCTTCAGCACTTACATCCTCAGGGATGCCAGCTGGCCTTGTAGATTTAATAGCATCTCTAATGAGCTCATCCTGCCACAGTCTGTGACGATTTTCACTCTTCCCCTCCACCTGAAGGGTCCAAAGAAGTCCACAATAAGTCAGAGATATGAAAGAAATACTATACAAATGAAACAATGATTTACTCTTTAAAAACATCAGTTCCTTGCGATGAAAAGGATTTCTGGGATGCCTGGGTGGCTTGGTGGTTAAGCATCTGCCTTCTGCTCAGGGCGTGATCCTGGAGTCCCAGGATCAAGTCCCACATCAGGCTCCCTGCATGGAGCCTGCTTCTCCCTCTGCCTGTGTCTCTGCCTCTCTCTCTATCTCTCTGAGTCTCTTATAAATAAATAAAATCTTTTAAAAAAAAAGATTTATTCTCTCTCTTCACTGTCCTCTACAGGCCTTAGCACATGAAGCCAGCATTGGACCTAGATGAGGTTTTAATGAATGAAAACATGTTGAGGGCCTGGGAGCATTTCCTGCTTCTCTGCCCACCAACAATTTGATTCTTAAGGGGCCTGGTTATGCCCAACCCTCAACCCAGGCCCTGAATGGACATATTTCCTTGAACTCTGACACACTGTCAACTGGCAGGTCCACCTGGTAAAATAATATTCTTCAGGAGAGGCATTAATACTTATCTGTCTCCTGTTTTTCTGTAAAACAGCAATCCTTCCTTTCCTACATCCTCTCTAGGAGACAGGCAGTGTATCGGCAAACGAGCTCAGGCAGGAGTTCAGACCTCACCACAGGGCCTGCGTTCGTGGGCCAGGGTGCTGGTAACCACCAGTTATGGGTGACAGCTCTTCAACACACAGATGGACATTGCAAGATGTCAGAACAGCCATGTCTGTCCAGGAAAAATGTGCCCTGGTTCTGTGCAGAGGCAGTTATGAATTCACTGTAGAAGTGAATAAATTGAAATCCAGAAGGGTTGGCCTGTGAATTTGCTGAGATCATAAAATTCATAAAGGTCTCAGGTAGCACCTTCCTCCAGAACATCGTAATTCGACTCTTTTCCTGAGAGCTTAAGAGTCAAAATTAAACCAAACCCCACTTCAATAGGTGGTAAATGATGTGGGAAACAAAGGCAGAAGAGAAATTATTAAATTCCCTTCCTACCTACAGCCCATTGACAAGTCCTTGCAACAGGCAGAGTGACCTCCCTCTAGGGACTCAACTGCCTCAATGTTGATACTTCACTAAGGGCAACAGGTGATCTTGGCCTGATCCCCAGGACCTTGTGTATCCACTCTAAGTATAAAAATTATTTTAGAAATTTCCTTTATCTCTACCTACCCCCCACAAGATATGTGCTGGCAATCATCCCCCAAGCACATGACCCGCCAATGTACATCTGAAGGGTCTCATGATTCAAGTTTTATTAGACACTAATAAATTGCCTTTTCCCAACAGTAGCTGCTAGCCCCTTAAGGTCCTGAAAACCTCGCTTCCAAAATTCCTTAGAGACTTAGACTCCCCCTATCCCCCTCCCAACTTGAAAGTATATAATGGGCCACTCCTCCTGACCCCAGTGCAGCTCTTTCTGCATCAAGAATTCTTCCTTTCCTGCTGGCTTTGAACCTTAACGTCTTTCCCACATCAGTGAGGGTATAACAAATAAACACCACTTGCAAGGGAGTGCTTATCTATAGGGGCAGGAGGGAGATGGGGTCAAGGGGGGAAACACTGATGTGGGGCCACAAGCAGATGATCAAGAAATAATTTTTTTTTATTAATTCATGAGAGACACAAAGTGAGAGAGGCAGAGACACAGGTGGAGGGAGAAGCAGGCTCCATGCAGGGACTTGATCCCAGGATCCCAGGGTCATGACCTGAGCTGAAGGCAGATGCTCAACCACTGAGCCACCCAGGCGTCCCAAGAAAGAATTCTTGAGACATTTTTGGTGCAAAAAAAGTGTTTTTATTATAGCAGAGGAACAGGACCCGTGGGTAGGAAGAAGTGAGCTTTTGCTGTATGAGGCTGGTGGTTATTGATGAGGAGAACAATTGCAAAAGAAATGTAGAGAAGATTACACGTTCTTACAGCTTGCAGCCTATCGACAAATACTTGAGGCAGGCAGAGTAACTATGACACTCCTCAAGGAACTCACAACTGCCTTAATGTTAATGCTTTAAAAAAAATTATATGAGGGAGTGAGAGCAGGAGTAGAGAGACAGAGGGAGAAGGAGAAGCAGACTCTCCCCTGAGCAGGGAGCCTGACTTGGGGCTTGATCTTGGGACCCTGGGATCATGACCTGAGCCTAAGGCAGACGCTTAACTGACTGAGCCACCCAGGAGCCCCAATGTTGATGCTTTGCTAGAGGCAAAGAAGCAACCTTAGCATGACTTTAGCCAGACCTCCGGGATCCTGTAAGTCCTCTTTAACATATAAAAATCCCTTTGGAAGATTCCTTTATCTCTACTCTCTACACCCCCGCCTACCCCCAAAAGATGTATGTTAGCAATCATCCTTCAAACATATGGCCCACTGATAGACATCTGAAGGATCTCATAACTAATGTTTTACTAGACAGTAGTAAATAATCTTACCTTAACAGCAGCTAGCCCCTCAAGGTCCTGGAAGACCTCCTTCCAAATTCCTTAGAGACTTACGCTATCCCTAACCCCCCACTAACTAGAAAGTACATAATCACTCACTCCTCAAAATCCCAGTGCAGCAACTCTCTGCCCATGGGTCCTGTATCCATGCTTTTAATAAAAAAACACCTTTTATTATTTTTTAAGATTTTATTTATTTATTCATGAGAGACGCACAGAAAGAGAGAGAAGCAGAGACACAGGCAGAGGCAGGAGCAGGCTCCATGCCGGGAGCCCGACGTGGAACTTGATCCCGGGACCCCAGGATCACGCCCTGGGCCAAAAGCAGGCGCTAAACCGCTGAGCCACCCAGGGATCCCCTAAAAACACCTTTTTGCACCAGAAATGTCTCAAGAATTCTTTCTTGACCTTTTGCTCCCAGACCCCATATCACAGCAGTTATATGCTTATTGCTTGCTCAAAGGGAAGGGGATGTGCGGTGAGTATTAGATCATAAATGTCTTCTTTGACTTTCTACTCATAAAACTACTTTGCGAGATTTCTCTGGTGCTTATCATTCAGTTCAAAATTATCTGTAGGTGAGATGTACAGGCAGTCCTGAGACCTTTTGAGAATGTAGCAACCACTGAGTATTTGATCCTTGCCAGAATAATGCAGGCTATAGGTCAGCCTTCTGGGCTGACAATGTACATTTGTCTGCTTCTATCCCTCATCATTTTCCCCCTGACCAATTATTAGTCCTTAATATTTAAGGTTGTTGAAGGGCAAAAGTTTCATCTTTTGTAACTACTTCAAGTCATAGGGATGTCCCTATGATGAGGGAGCAGAAGGCAAGCTGAGGAGTAAGCACAAGCTGATACCCTGCACAGCACCCACCTTCCCAGGTGGGACATGAGTGACATTCCTTAGGCACTCCTGGCTGTCCTAAAACTAAGGAATGGGAAAAACAAATGGTTAGCTAATAGAGATCACAGTCCAGCAAGACATGGGTGTCCCTCGGCTTATAAAATGTCTTAGTGAATTACAAAAAAAAGTATTCAGGCAGCCCCAGTGGTGCAGCGGTTTGGCGCCGCCTGTAGCCCAGGATGTGATCCTGGAGACCGGGGATCAAGTCCCACGTCCGGCTCCCTGCATGGAACCTGCTTCTCCCTCTGCCTGTGTCTCTGCCTCTCTCTCTGTGTGTGTCTCTCATGAATAAATAAATAAAATCTTAAAAAAAAAGCATTCTTATCAATAACCTAACTTCTGGAAGGAAACTCCCAACTATCTTAATATTAATGCTTTACTAGAAGGGAAAACAACCTTCACCTGGTAATGACAAGGCCTCCAATATCTTGTAGGTCCCCTTTATTTTTATTTATTTATTTATTTATTTATTTGTCTCCTTTAGCATACAAAAATTCTTTTGAAGACCTTCCTTTTTCCTTACCCTCAACTCCCAAGTATATAATCAGTCACCCCTCACAATTCCAGGTCAGCAGGACTTTCTACACCATTTGTCCTGCCCCTGTGCTTTTTTTTAAAATTAATTTATTTATTTATGATAGTCACACAGAGAGAGAGAGGGAGGCAGAGACACAGGCAGAGGGAGAAGCAGGCTCCATGCACCGGGAGCCCAACGTGGGATTCGATCCCGGGTCTCCAGGATCGCGCCCTGGGCCAAAGGCAGGCGCTAAACCGCTGCGCCACCCAGGGATCCCCCTGCCCCTGTGCTTTAATAAAACCACCATTTTGCATAAAGACATATCAAGAATTCTTCCCTGGATGTCAGCTCTGGACCTCACCCCACTAAACCTTACCTACATTCAAAAACTACATCATCTACCCATGGATTGAAACTGGTCACTCTCTGTCCCAACAAGTAACAATTACAGAAACCATTGGTGTAGCATCCAGAGTAGACATTGGGTGAGTTTGCTTCAAGTAGTAAGTGATGTAAGAAAAGATGTTAGGAAAAAAAAAAAAGAAAAGATGTTAGGGTTTGAAGTTGATGGCCAAGAAAGAATTCTTGAGATGTCTTCGGTTCAAAAAGGTGGTTATATTGGGATTCCTGGGTGGCTCAGGGGTTTAGTGTCCACCTTTGGCCGAGGATGTGATCCTAGAGTCCCAGGATCAAGTCCCACATCAGGCTCCCTGCATGGAGCCTGCTGCTCCCTCTGCCTGTGTCTCTGCCACCCCCTCTGCCTGTCTCTCATAAATAAATAAATAAATAAATAAATAAATAATAATAAAT